GACCAGTAGAATGACAAAGCTGGTTCAAAGGACATGAGAAACTAATACATGCATAGGTACAGCATGCAAAAAAAGAATGCTTAGTAAGACTGCAGAGATAGATACAAAACTGGATAAAGCCCTAAAAGGCAAGAAACCATAACTCCTGGAGTTACCTCTTCTATCAAAAAGGAATCCTTTGTAACCTATCTAATATTCTCTAAGTTATTTAATATCTAACTTTAGAGGTCCTAATCAATAGTAAACACTAAGTCAAATTACTTCCCTAAGAGGTGGGGTCAGCAAATATTTTTGTGTGTGTAAGGCCAGATAGCAAATATTTCAGACGTTACAAGGCCATTTGGTCTCTGTCACAACTACTCAGCTCTGCTGCTGTCATATGAAAGCAGCCATGAGCAATAAGTAATGAATAAGCATGTCTGTGTTCCCATAAAACCTGATTGACATAAAACAGGTGGTGGACTTGATTTGATCCACAGGACATAGTTTGCCAACCGCTCTGACCTAGAATGCCACATGATTCTTAGGTGGCCAATTATACAAGGCCAGCTATACAATTCTCAAGGTACAACTTTGAAGAGACCTGCAGTAATTTTTTTCTGCTTTACTTCCAAGTTTTAGACAATTTTTTTAACATTACCCAGGTCTTTAAATCCCCACGCTCTTTCTCCAATACAGAGGGAAGCTTACTTTGTTGTCTCTTAGGCTCACTCAGTCTTTGGACTTCAGTTAAGAAACAAAATAAGATTGTCAAAGAAGACTAAAACAAAACTACTAAGAAGAGTGTTTCCCACTGTTTCTCAGTCTTTGGCTTGCTTGGTTTGGGAAAACATTCTGTGAACTAGCTATCCCTTTTCCACTGCCTTGAGGAATCCTCATCAGGACCAGTGGGAAGCCTAATGCTGGTGAGACAAACTGGGGGCTATCAGAGATGCATGATGCCAGACATGTCCCAGACGGAGAAGCACCCATTTGAAGGCATGGTCCTGACAGTTCTCATGGTTCAAGGAGACGGAGTCCACGTGCCACCTGTGGACCTCAGCACTCACATTTCAAGAACCACCAACCTATGAGACCTAAGACCAGTAGAGGGACCTGTTCGGCTCATTCGAAAGCTGTTTCATCTAAGGTCTGTTTACAAAAAGAACAGAGTCCTTCTTAAAAGAATGGAAAACAGTTGATCTCTCAAGAAAAATGTCCTATGATACCTGAACTCCTGGCAAGTTGGAGTTGGCATGCAGGCTTGTATATAGGACTATATATAGGAGCTCATAAAGTCTCATCCTTAACAAGTGACTGCCACAGAGCAAATGCTAGGAGCATATTCCTTGTAAAACCAGGTTCTAATTAGTTCAAATATTAAATGTATACATACTGTGGGTTAAATAATAGGATAGATACTGCAGTAACAAAGTTGAACACAACCCAGGACTTACTCTTAAAAAGCTTAGTCTATAAGGGGAAAAATTAAGTAAGTGCTCTATGTAATATTCTATACAATGTCATATGCAGTAAACACTAAAAAGGGCAGTCTGAGGCGGAGTACGGACAGACGAAGGCATGCTAAAGACTGCTGGATAAACCAAGGTGAGTGTTTCAGAAATGGCAAGTAGACAAAGGGAGTCAGAAAAGCACATGGCTCTGCTTAATTTTATAACATTATCAAATCAAGTCTAAAAATTAAATAACAGATAATACACCCAGATATAAGAAAAGCAAATGGGAGTCAAAAGAAGAGTAAGACATTGATTAAGATGATTTGTTACTAACAGTTTTTTGAAAAGTAATACCTCTCACTATAAAGATCTTTCCATCAGCTTCTCTAAGTTGATTCTGGTAAATTTAAATTATCTTTTAACTCCCAGTCTCTGTTCTGTCATAGCCACATTTGTGTTTACAAGTAATCACGCTTTCCTCCTGACAGCTGGTTTTCTAATTTTCCAGTTTCTAAAAACGTATAAACAGAAGAAAATCTGATAAAAATAACTTAACATCATGTGATATGTTGACACATTAAAGAAATCCTGTTGTTGCTTAACCAAGGTCATATTTCTATTCTTAAATATTCCCTAACAAGAAACAAAATTTCTATGTAATGTCTGAATATCTTTGAATGGTTTACACTTAAAGTCTCATATGCTATTTTTAGAAATGCACATGTAATACATTATTTTCTATTTTCTTTTTCATTATAGAGTGATAAGTTATCTAATAAATAAGCCATCTCACGAACTCTGATCCAAAATGTGATTTACCACAAAATTCAAGTAGTTTAAGGTAGGGAAAAGCAATTAAAAGAGTTGTAAAATGGAAGAAAAAGAAAAGATGGGAAAATATATAATGAACCTTAACTTTCCATTAGAAAACAATTTTTCAAGTGAAACGTAATTTTTCTAAATGCTGAATGACTGTTATAGAAACCATGTGCAACACTATATGGGTACTTAAGAAAACAGGAAAATTGTCCCTTAAGACAAAAATTCGACAATATTTTCACAGTGAAAGTTAGGCAAAAGGTTTGGAAATTTTTAGAATGTTTCACTTAAACTATTCAGCAGTTTTGAATTACTTATGTAGTAACAGGATGGTTTACCTGTGAAAACCAAATACAATATTAAGTTTCAGCACATATTCAACAATTATACAGAGTACTTTACAAAAGGAAGATGCCTTTCTTGATAGCAAAATGACAGAGAAATGTAAACTAAAATTACACAGCATTGAAAGGGAGCCTACCATTATTCCCTCTTATTTAAATCAACTGTCAAGAAGAAAACTGTTGGGAGTCATAGAATAAAACAAATGAACCATCATAACAAAGAAGATACAAGAATATTTCAAAACATAATGCAAGAGTAAAATCTAGCCCCTCTTAAAAAGTTTAGAACACACTGTTAGTTCACAGGCAATAATATGCCAGGTTAACCTGAAAACAGTTGTAGTGGCTTTAAAACATGTATGCAAATTCTCTGACACCCAGTCTTCAAATGATGGGCCAGACTTAGTGCTTCACTACTATCAAAAAAAAGTGGCATAAGGGATACTGTGATATCCATGACTCGTTGAAAGAAAGGACACAGCTTTTGCCTGGTGTACGAGTTCTCTCTTGGGGCACTATTAAAACCCAGCCACCATGCTGTGAGGGAGCTCAGGCCATAAAGAATTATACTTTTTATTTAAACAAAATTTTGAAATATTTATTTATAAGATAATAACTGTCTTTGAAATTAAGCAGTTTACTGAGCAATTAGTTTTGTCCATACACATTCACATGTTATTGCTGTAAAGAAGATATTTATAATTTCTCCAGTTTCAATCTGAACATACAATCTGTAGTAACAAGATGCAGATTCAAGTACACATCTTCTAATTTGTAGTTCTATCTTCACCTACATCTAATAGGAATAATAATACTATTTTTTCAACTTACTTTATAGGTAGCAGGCATAAGATTTATATGAAAAAATTTCCCAAAATCACTAAACAAACATAGGGTAAAACACATAAAGTTTTATCATATTAACTATGTTCTAACATTTGATTTGCTTTTTATAGTCTAACCAAAATAAAGATTGCATACTTTCAGAACTATGAAACTCAGTAGTTAGACAAGGTGAATTAAAGTAGTAAAACTAGTCATAATAATAAACCGATTCATCCATGTTCTCAATTACATTAATAATAATAATTGTAAAAACAGATTAACATTTTGTGAAAATACTCATATTTATTTAGGAGTTCTTGCCCATATCAATGGACTGTCTGGCATCAGCCACGGCATCAGGTACTCGGACAGTCATATTGTCCATAGATTTTGTCAAACAGATTTGGCAGCCCAACCGGGATCTGTATAAAAAAGTGGGGAGGTATAGTTTAGTATTAAGTATATATTATTCACAAGGCAATGCAGTTTGATAAGATATTTTCTAAATTAGGGATTTATTTACCTCTTAAATTTCCATTAAGTAGAAATAGATATATACAACCCTTCCAACTAGAGAGTAGCAGAATGTAAATATGAAAATCAAAAAGTGTGTTGTTCCAAAGCTTCATTTTAATCTTTAGTTTCTATCATCTACTAATTCTTTCATAAGACCTACTGCTTTTTTGGTGAAGGGGCTGACAGGCAATGGAATCATCAGACACACAATGGTAGAGGAAAGAAAACTAAGGTTTTAGCAACACCAAGAGAATGATTAATGAAGTCCCAGATAATTAAAACTATCAGACAATAAAAGAAAGTTATACTTTTTAAAGCCTTTCAAATAAGAAATCTGGAATAAACACATACATATAAGTCATTAATTATCAGATGCCTATTTTTCCCCATATTTTTAACATCTCTAAAACAAGATATGTCTTAAAATCAATGGCATTTTACAATCACCTCTACACTGTGAGGGTGGCAGTCACATCACAGCTGAAAACTTGTTATTTACATAGGTATCTCTTCAACTGAGTCGAGGGAAGTTTGTTAGTACTTTGTGTGTTGAATCTAATTACCCTGAAGAGTAAGTCCAAAAACAATACAAAACAAAAATGAAAAATACAGAAACACAGCAAGGCACAGATTTGGTATCAGTAAAGCAAATATTTGTCACTAGACGAATTTCATTTTTTTTTCAGAATTACTACCACTTTTATTTCATTTATATTTTCTTTTGCTAACAGTGATGTATAAATCTATACCTAGATAAGTATAAACCACCTTGTCAATATACACAAAATGTTAAGTGATAACTTTGTGCCCTATTTTAATCAGCAGTGCTTTGTACTTTCTTAGTGGCATGCAAAAATAAATGTATTAGACTTAGAATCAAACTGTCCTCCATTTGATGGAATGTGATATGTAGGTCTTAGTTTCATTAATGTATTCATTAAGCATTTATTTAGCATCTAAAGGCACAGTACTAAATGTTATTGGGTATGCAAAGAACAGAAAAGTCACTTCAACCCTTACTGACCACCTCTTACGTGCTGGGTAGCAGGCATCCAGGAAGGAGGCAAGATGGGGGTTGGAACCAGACAGACAGTGGTCCAGAAGCAGCACTGAACATGGTGTGTTCACAGGCAACTTTCTTAATCCTGCCAAATAGTTTCCAAACCTCATCCTAAACAGAGAGAGTAAGCGGGCTCCTCATGGGACTGCTGGGAGGATTAGCTGCTAATATCAGTATTAAAGAGTAAATTTTCACTCCAACAGTAGAGGTGAGACACATTTGCAGATAATTAACATGTGAGATTATGACAAATGCCACAGAGATGGAAAGCCAAGAGATCCGAGGAGAAAGCACTTACTTCTGGCCCGGGCAGATGTGTTTACAATGGGCTTTAAAGGATGGATGGGATTTAATAAAAGAGAAAGAGTAAGTCATTTGAGGCAGAGGCAACAGGGAGTCAAGCCATGTCTGTGGCAATACAGGTTTTTAGGTTGGCTGCTGCACAAGACAGACAAGTACAGGAGAGTGACGGGCTAAGAAGGGCCAGGCCCAGACAGCTTTGAACACTGAAGAATGAGTTTAGGTTTTAACTGGTGAGCAATGAGAGACTGGAAAGTTTCTGAGTAGAAGTATATATGACCATGGAGATTATATATATAACCAAGTATATGTAACTGGTAGAAAAAAAAGAAAAGTCCCCTTCTAATAATTCCTATTTTTTAATTAGAAACAGCCTTGAGATTTCCAGAAAAAGATAGCAGAGTATGAAGGCAAAGTGGAAACCTCCTCCCACATACACAGCAAGGAAGCAACTACAGCAAATACAACTAACCCTGAAAGTAACCTGAAGACTAAAGAACAGACCACCTACACCTGGGGAAGAAGAGAAAGATCACACAGAGAACAGGAAAGTGGCCAAGCCACCATCTATCAGACCCAAGCTCTTCCCCCATCCCAACCCAAAAGTGGGAGGGACAGGAATAGAGAAAGGAGGGGATAAACACTCAGGAATGCAGCACACCTGGCCCTTGAGATGTGCTCTCTGGGAGCGCAAGTCCGTACTGCACTGTGCCAGGTGATTAATGGGGGCAGGACACCAGAGAGAGCTGGAGCACTCCGGGAGGCTGACTCCTGCCACTTGTGCAGGACAGGCACACACTCTGGCCCTGCTGAGAGCCAAAACAATTTGAAAGATTTATCAGCATAAGTGTGCCAGAGGGGCAGAGCTTGGAGGGAACTCTCTCTGGAAGAGAAAGGGCAAGTGGATGACACTTCCCAGGCTCTCCCTCAGCCCAGGAGGTCACTTGAGGGGGCCAGATCCAAATGCTCCACCTTCCTCATGGGCAGCTCAGCTCTGTGGCATGCTTCCTGCACATATGCCCACCCAGCCTGCTCAGCCCAGCAGTATCAGACTTTGCTGCCTGGCAGGCAGAGGGATGGCCTGCCCACAAAGATCCCAGAAGAAGCACTGCACAGTACACAGAAGGCCCTCTAAGGCGAGCTGTCGGTCTCTGCTGAGAGAGATCAGCCACTGCCTGCAAACAGGCAGAAAGGCAGTCCCACCTACAGCCCCACAACTGCAACTGCAGCTTCACCGCTCAGGAGAACCAGGCCCTGGCCGGCAGAGTCTGAGCTTCTGAGAACCACAGGATACCTTCATAAAGCCAGGAGGCAGAGTAGACCTATCTATACAAACGAAGAAACACAGAAACCTAGACAAAATGAGGAGGCAGAAGAAAATGTTCCAAACCAAAAAACAAGATAAGACACCATAAAATGGGCTAAATGAAATGGAGATTACCAATCTTCTTGATAAAGATTTCAAGGTAACAGTCATAAAGATGCTCACTAACCTGGGGAAAACAACTGATGATCTCAGTTAGAACTTCAATAAAGAGTAGAAGATTTAAAGAAGAGCCACTCAGAGCTAAGAATATAATAACTGAAATGAACACTACAATGGAGGGAATGAATAGCAGACTGCTGGAAGTAGAGGAGACAATCAATGAGATGGAAATTAGAGAACAGGAAAATAACAAAGCTCATGAACAGAGAGAAAAGGGAATTTCTAAAAATGAGAAGCTACTAAGAGAGCTGTGTGACACCACCAAATGAAACAATATTTGCATAATACAGGTCCCACAAGAAGAGAGAGACAAAAAAGTAGAAAGTCTCTGAAGAAAAATAGCTGAAAACTTCCCCAATCTGAGGAAGGAAACAGACACCCAGGTCCTGGAAACACAGAGAGCCCCTAACAAATGGAACCCCATAAAGACAACACTAAGACATACAGTAATTAAAAAGGCAAAGATTAAAGATAAAGAGAGAATCTTAAAAGCAGTTACCTATAAGGGAAACTGTAAGGCTATCAGCAGATTTCTCAGCAGAAAGGAATGGCATGGAGTATTTAATGTATTGAAATGAAAGAACCTAGCAAGGTAATTATTCAGATTGAAGGAGAAATTAAAGGTTTCCCAGATAAAGTTAAAAGAATCCACTGCCACTAAACAGGCCTTACAGGATATGTTAAAGAGACACCTGTACATGGAAATGTTCTTATGCCTAAATTTTTAATCAATGAAAATAAACCTACAGTAAAGGCAGCAGACCAATTACTTACTAAGCAAGTATGAAGTTGGAAAAAAAAAGCAGTAAAATCAATAATACACAAAATCAGTCACGGGATACACAAAAAAATGTTGATTATGACATCTAATACATAAAGTGTGGAGGAGGAAGAAGACTAAAAATAAGTACTTTTAGATTGTGTTTGAAATACAGTGACTATCAACAATACAGACTGTTAAATATTTAAGACAATACGTAGGAACCTTATGGTAACCACAAACATAAAGCCTATAATAGATACACAAAAAATTAAAAAAAAGAAATCCATCACAACACTAAATAAAATCATCAAATTACAAGAGAACAGTGTAAGAGAGGAAGAAAGGAACAGGGAAGAACTACAATAACAGCAGAAAACAATTAATAAATTGGCAATAATTACATATCTATCAACCACCTTAAATGTAAATGTGTTGAATGAACAATCAAAAGACACAGGGTGGGAGAATGGATAAAGAAACAAGACCCATCTGTATGCTGCTTACAAGAGATGCATTTCAGACCTTAAGACATACATAGACTGGAAGTTGAAGGGATGGGGAAAGATATTTCATGCAAATAAAAGGGAGAAAAAGCAGAGGTAGTATTACTTACATCAGACAAAATAGGTTTCAAAACAACATAGAAACACCTAAATATGTATAACAAATACTAACAGAACTAAAGGGAGAAATAGACTGAAACTCAAACATATTTGGGGACTTTAACACACCACTTACATCAATGGTTGGAGGACCTGGACAGACACTTTTCCAAAGAAGAAATTCAGATGGCCAACAGGCACATGAAAAGATGCTCCACATCACTAATTATAAAGAAATGTAAATCAAAACCACAATGAGATATCACCTCACACCAGTTAGAATGACCACTATCCAAAAGACAAGAAATAACAAATGTTGGCAAGGTTGTGGAGAAAAGGGAACCCTCCTATACTGCTGGTAGGAATGTAAATTGGTGCAGCCACTATGGAAAACAGTATGGAGGTTCCCCAAAAACTAAAAATAGAAATACCACATGACCCAGCTGTTCCACTTCTAGCACTTCCTTCTCCAAAAAAAAATTTCTGATTCAAAAAGATATGCACCCCTATATTTATTGCTGCATTATTTACAATAGCCAAGATACAGAAGTAACCAAAGAGTCTATCAGTAGATGAATGGATAAAGAAGTTGTGGTACATATACACAATGGAATATTATTCAGCCATAAAAAGGAAAGAAATCCTGCCAATTGTGACAACATGGATGGACACAGAGGGTATTATGCTCAGTGAAATAAGCCAAGCAGAAAAAGACAATTGCTTTCACTTATACGTGAAATCTAAAAATAAAACAAAACAAAATGAACAAAACAGTAACAGACTCATAGACACTGAAAAGTAACTGGTGGTTACTATGAGGTAAGGATTGTGGTGGGTGGGTGGGTAGGGTGAGGGGTATTGAGGCACAAAATCTCAATCATAATGTAAGTTGGTCATGGGGATGGAAGTGCAGCATGTGGAATACAGTCAGTGGTTCTGAAACATCTTTCTATGTTGACAGTAACTGCACTAGTTGGTGGTGAGGATTTAATAATGTATATAACTATTGAACACTGTTGTATACTTGAAACCAATATAATACTGTATATCAACTGTACATCAATTTTTAAAAATACACTTTAAAAAAAGAGAAAAAAACAGCTTTGACAATACTCAACTATGTATTAGGCTCTATCTTCAAGAGAGAAAATGTAGCAAGCTGATTTAGACCAATTCACTAGGACTGTGGTGAGCCCTACATAGAATACTGGTTATTCTTGATGTTCATACAGAGATAATGCTCATCTTCAAGGAATTTTTAATTTAGTAGGAAAAAAGAGTAGGAAACAGCTCTCAGTGAAACAGGGAAGAATACAGTAGGTGTAGTGACAGAAGAACAAGCAGTGTTATGGGAACACAGGGTGGATGGCGCTGAGAGCCCTTGCTGGCCCTACGACCTTGGAAGTTAAAGTACTGGCACTCTGTGGCTGTTTTCTCAGTCCCTACTTCCTCTGCCTTCTTACAGGTCTCTTTCTGGCTCCAGTGTCTCCCCAGTGTACAGTGTCTCCTACCTCTGGAGAAGCGGACAGACGGCAAGCATTCTTTCACTATCAGTCCCCCAATATTCTGATATGCAAATCTTGAAAACATTTTCTGCAATCACCTTTGTTATACATATCTGACAGTGGAAATACACTGATTATTGTGTATACTTTACCTTCAAGTTTGATTTTCAATTCAGAGGAAGAGCTTGAAATGTAAAACAATCAAGGGTTTTGATGCCCAACATAAAGGATTCAAATCAAGGCTGTGTTATTCTCTAGTTGTCTGGCCTTGAGCAAATCTGTGGTGACTAAATCTTGTCTTCCCACCCTTAAAATGGTAATAATACTGACAATCTTTAAGGTTAAAAATACTCTTTGTTAAGTGCTTTGGCATAGTATCTGACATATATGTTGATATTATTATTGCTCTGATGCTAAAAAGTACCATTTAATCAATGTTTTCTCCACCAAACACTGTTCTATGAGTTTCACATAACCCTATAACCCAGGTACTGTTTAAGTACAGAAACTGAGGCCTCTGTGTAGATGATCCACTTATCCATGTATACGGGTGGCAGCAAGCCATGACAGTCTTCCAATATAGATTCACAGATACATTTCTGAATCTGTCAACCATTAATTGCACGAATAGTTGACGATGCCCTTTTATGAATAAGGCACTGGAGATACAGTGATGAAATACATGGCCCCTGTTTCCAAGAGGAAATAGGAGATAAGTAAACAGTGTAAGAAGTACCATATGAGCCTGGGTATCATCAGTCCATCAATAATCAAATTTAAGTACACCTATAATAAACATTGAAAGGATGAGGTTTTATCTAAAAAATTAAAGACATTTACATGGCACTTAACATTAACATAAAAAGGAACTAAAAGAGTAAATTTGCTTGTTTCTTTGTTTCAAAACTGTATGCTACCCTAGAAATAGTTTTTATGTGGTGACTAGCTTTGAGCAAAATTTCTTTCATTCTAAATATGTCAAAGTGTTTTATAAATGAATGATACCTATGAAAAACATTATATTCTTTTCCCCACAAAGCATTTCTACTAAAATTCTGTGTATTAAGAATATCAGCTATAAAATATTATAGAAGCTCCTTGCTCTCCATTATATCTTGTTCTAAAAGTCTCTGAAATTGATTATCACAGTTCTTAACTTGTTCACATTTATATTATGTCTTTTGTATCTTTTTACGTAAGTGTATGTCTTCTCACTATACCTCTCCTTTTCTTCTTGTGTTTTCTTTTGACCTAGAAGACTGTTACACGCACCTACAAATTCTATCTGAACAAAAGGGCAAGCAGTTAGCTGTGATTCATCCCTTCCATTAAAGAGAAACAATTCTCACAACCAAATTAACAAACTTATTGAGTATATTCTGTATGTTATCCTTCAGGAAATAAAAGAGGTCTTAGAGAACGTGACACCTGGAGACAGGAGGGGACAGGTAGGTTGCAGCCATAATCTGCTTTGCTTTGGAATCCAAAGAGACATTATTTTCTCAGTTTCTCTTCCCAGGGTATCAGTCTTACCTCCACCAAGGAGGAAATGAAGTTCAAAAGGAATAAAATGATTCTTTACCTCTAAATAACTACCAATTGACTTAAACATTTTTGTAAGGATCTGATAAAGCTACATAATACACATGAAATAAAGCTTTTATCACTTTTGCATAATTTTTTTAAAAAATCATTTTTTCATTAAGTTCAACAAATTATAATTAAACACCCAAGCCAACCTTAATTAAGTAAACCCTCATTATCTTGCCCTTTGAAACTATAAATCAACTAGCTACTTACCCTAACTCCAATCAAAAGGCCAGATAATTTTTTTAAAAAAGGTATTACTTGCTTCTACAAATCCTACCACTTTTAAGAGCAATTCTTTAAAACCTATTACTTAATAACAAGAAAAAGCTCTGATCAATTTATTTTAATGTACACTTAGAAATATTAATTTTATCATAATTACTATGTTATATAGGTTTTTTTAAAAATTCTGTTCTCCCAAGTACATAAAACTTTCCATTACAATTTTGTTCAATTATCAACTCTGTCCTTCAAGAACACCATAAAAAGCATTAAATTTAATCTCAACTCATTAAATTATAATGACTATTAATTCCTGGAATAAAAATAGACTAAAAAAGATTTATTAGGATCTAGAACTTTTACGTCCAACATCTCCATTCATTCATTCACTCATTCATTCATTCATCCATTTATTTATTGCTTTTATAAAAAGGAAAGGGTTCATAAGGGCTAAACTGTAGAACAGTGAACAAAGAGAAATATCACATAATTGATACTCAAAGTCTGTGACTGTGATCTATCTGCACTGCACATGTTACTACACTTGTCAGACCTGTCTTAAGTAGATAAAAACTAATAAAACCTTTCTCTTCCCAGATCAGTACAACTGCAGTGGTCTTAAAATCTTACCTATCTGTTAGCCCAAATGCCAGATCAAGCATGTCATTCTCCTCATCAGTGACTGCTTCTAACTTCTCAAATATGTGATCTTCAAAGATGAGATGACAGGTAGAGCAAGCCAAGGTACCCTCACATGCACCTACAAAAAAAAACAGACACTCAACGTACTCAACTGTGCAAGACACACAATGTCATCATGGTTTTAATTAAGTTAATTATTTAAATTTTAGAATCATCATTAGCATACATACATCATAGGACTTTACTTTAGAATAATAATGAGAATTAGGGACACCTGACACACACACATACACAATTTGAAATCACTTCCGCATCTTATTTCAAAAAGGTTCTAGATTAGGTGCTGTGAAGGGAAACTCAAAAATACATAATCTTAATATTGAAGAGTTTACAAATTAATAAACAGACATGCGCACATATAAAAATGGATACATTTTTAAAGTTATATAGTATTAGTTTATATAATAGCTACGTAAGTTTTTTTACCTTCTCCTGGAGAGTTCAACACAATTAATGAAGCTTTGTGGTATATAAGAGAAATCAGAAAGCAACCAAACCTACACCTAAAGTTAAATACTCTTCCCTATCAATCTCTCCTTGTTCATAATAAATAAGAGTTATTTATTGGATGCCTATTATTTGTCAGGTACCGTGAAAAGGGAATGAAGAAGTTATCTAAGCAGAAAGAGAAATCAGGAAAACAATTCCATTCACAATAGCATCAAAAAGAATAAAATACCTAGGAATAAACCTAACCAAGGAAGTGAAAGACCTATACCCTGAAAACTACAATACACTCTTAAGAGAAATTAAAGAGGTCACTAACAAATGGAAACCCATCCCATGCTCCTGGCTGGGAAGAATTAATATGGTCAAAATGGCCATTCTGCCCAAAGCAATATACAGATTCGATACAATCCCTATCAAATTACCAACAGCATTCTTCAATGAACTGGAACAAATAGTTCAAAAATTCGTATGGAACCGCCAAAGACCCCGAATAGCCAAAGCAATTCTGAGAAGGAAGAATAAAGTGGGCCGGATCTTGCCCCCCAACTTCAAGCTCTACTACAAAGCCACAGTAATCAAGACAATTTGGTACTGGCACAAGAACAGACCCACAGACCAGTGGAACAGAATAGAGAGTCCAGATATTAACCCAAACATACATGGTCAATTAATACACGATAAAGGAGCCATGGATATACAATGGGGAAATGACAGCCTCTTCAACAGCTGGTGTTGGCAAAACTGGACAGTTACATGTAAGAGAATGAAACTGGACCATTACATAACTCCATACACAAAAATAAATTCGAAATGGATCAAAGACCTGAATGTAAGTTATGAAACCAGTTTGAAAAAGACATATGCACCCTTATGTTTATTGAAGCATTATTTACAATAGCCAAGAAATGGAAGTAACCTAAGTGTCCATCAGTAGATGAATGGATAAAGAAGATGTGGTACATATACACAATGGAGTATTATTCAGCCATATAAAGAAAACAAATCCTATCATTTACAACAACATGGATGGGGCTGGGGGGTATTATGCTCAGTAAAATAAGCCAGGTGGAGAAAGACAAGTATCAAATGATTTCACTCATCTGTGGAGTATAAGAACAAAGAAAAAAACTGAAGGAACAAAACAACAGCAGACTTCACAGAACCCACGAATGGACTAACAGTTACCAAAGGGAAAAGAACTGGGGAGGATGGGTGGGAAAGGAGGGATAAGTGGGGAAAAGGGGCATTACGATTCGCACACATAATGTAGGGGGTGGGGCGGTGGGGGTGGCAGGGCACGGGGAAGGCAGTATAACACAGAAAAGACAAGTAGTGATTCTATAGCATCTTACTACGCTGATGGACAGTGACTGTAATGGGGTTTGTGAGGGGAACTTGGTAACGGGGGAGTCTAGTAAACATAATGTTCCTCATGTAACTGTAGACTAATGATACCAAAATAAAAAATAATAATAATAAAAATAAAAAATAAAATAAAAATGCCTCTGAAACCAAAATCAAAGGGAGAAATAAAGTTTAAGAAAACCCCTCCTCCCCCAAAAAAAGACAAGAAATAATAAGTTTTGTTAAGGATGTGGAGAAAACAGAGTCCTCACTGTTGAAAGGAATAAAAATTGGTACAGCCACTACGGAAAACTGTATGAAAGTTCTTTGGAAAATTAAAAATAGAACTACCATATGATCCAGCAATTCCACTGAGTTTACTTACCTAAAGAAAACAAAATACTAATTCAAAAAGACATATGTACCCCAGTGTTCATTGCAGCATTATTTACAATCATCAAGATCTGGAAGCAACCTATGTGCCCATCAGTGGATAAATGGATGAAGATGTGATTATGTATACAATGGAATATTAGTCATAAAAAATAATGAAATCTTGCCATGACAACATGGGTAGAATAGAGAGCATTATGCTAAGTGAAGTAAGTCAGATAGAGAAAGATAAATACCATAGGATTTCACTTACAAGTGGAATCTAAAAAAATAAAAACAAAGAAACAAAACAAAAGAGAAAAAGACTTATAAACACAGAGAACAAACTGATGGTTGAGGAGGTGGAGGGGTGGAGGGATGGGCGAAATATGTGAAGGGGGTGAAGTGGTACAAACTTCCAGTTATAAAATAAAAAGTCATAAAGTCATAAGGATGTAAAGTACAGTTCAGGGAATATAGTGAATAATATAATAATGATTTTGAAAAGTGACAGATGGTAACTAGTTATGGTGAGCATTTCATAGTGTATGTGTTGTAGTCTATTGTACACCTGAAACTAATACAATATGTCAACTATATACTTCAACAACAAATAAGTAAATAAAATAAAATGGCAAATCTCTCTGGAGATACTATGGGACAAAAAAACAGGAAACGCAGCCTACTTTCCCTTTAAAATTTAAGTGAAACAATCCTTACAAAATATCCCAAGGAACTTTCTTAATTTAAAAATCATATACTTCCCTTCAGATTTCTGTTACTAAAAAAACAAGTCCTGAGAACTGCAAGTCATTTGTAACAGAAGATGCAAGGAAAACAAAACTCAACAGTCCAGGTCAGGACGAGATGCGCTATAGAGGAGTAAGTGTGAACTGTTCTATAAGTCAATTATTCTCCACCTTGCTTCTGAACATACTAGGTGAGTAACTCGTATGCTCAGTAACCAGCTTTCATGGTGGGTGGCCACAGAGATCACACTGACTAGGAGGTTATGGCCAACCATTAACTCCAGCTCTCCGAGATCCAGCCCCTGGAGAAATGGTGTTTACGAACCTTTGCTATAGGTTACAGGAAGCTGCTAAAGGATTCTAAGCAGGAAAATGACATGGCATATTTGATTTTAGATAGACCTCAAGGGTGGTTGTGTGTGAAGGATGAATTTGGGATGAAAAGAGACAGAAGCAAGTCATGACACTTCACCAACGGGGAGGGGAAAAAGCAATGGAAGAGTAAGCAGCAGAAAAAGCCAAGGCGAGCGCCCTGCTAGAAAGGGAGTTCAGATAAAAATGGCCCAAATGGGAGAGAACCAGACACATGCCACGTCAGAAGAGCCCAGTGAATAAAACAGTCCATCCAACATGGTCTCAAGTCACCTCGGAATGGATAGAAAAGTCCATCTGTCCAGTGAATACGTCTGGGAAATTTAGGACATTCCTTTTTGTGCCACCTGGTCAGATGAAATGAAGAGTTACCACCTATATCCCAGCTCTTCATATGTTTTAAACTCTTCTTCCTTAGGAAACTTCAATTCTTTTAACCTTCTCTTCAAGGCTTTATTTTCATTCTCTAATAATTTCCATTGCCCTCTCAGGAACCTTGCCAATTGTTTCCATATCTGGCACAAAGCTCGGAGCTGAAGAGAATATTCTAATAAGAATTTGACAAATATTGAATACCTATTAGTTCACTTCTGGTTCCTACCTGCTAAGTTCCTATTATACATTGTCATGTGTTTATCCTTTAAATAAATGCACCACATTCATGATCCTTCCTTATTGTATGGTTCCTTTCAAACATTTTCCGCTACTACTTGTCAACACATACGTTTTCCTTATTCTTTCTATTAGGAAGAAACGCAAATAGAAACTTTAAGACTCAGAATGAAATCAACTCTACCTGGATAAGATGGCTAATAGTGAACCAGAGAAATTAATGGTCATACTGTGGTACAAATATCACTATTGAAAAAAAATCTGCAGAAAAGATACAAGATCCCATAGATAGCACTTACTGGAAGAAACCCCAAAATAATAAGACAACCTGGGCAATGTTTTCAAGTTGTTTTTTTTTTTTTGAGATAAACCTGTATGTCCACAGATACATGTATATTTTTAAAAAAGGAAGTATTTTAGAGAATAGTGAAGACATGTCTCTGAAAAAAGATATTTTAAAAAGAGACTAAAACTGTATGAAAAGGCTATTTCAGAAAAAAAAAGTTACTCATTTTTTGTTCTTTTTTTATCTAATAAAAAAATTACTATTTTGTGATAGCTATTTCTTTCAATTTATTAATTGCCTGGTTTTATAGAGATAGTCTCCAATTAACAGGCACCTGACTTTTTTTATTTTTTTGGAATACAGTTTTATAAATTTTAACACATGTATAAGTTTTGTATAACTAACACCACAATCAGGATTTACAACAATTTCAACATTCCAAAAAATTCCCTTGGGCTGCTCCTTTGAAGCACACCCTGTGCCATCCCTAAACCCTGGCAACCAATTATCTGTTCTCCATCCTATAGTTTTAGTCTCTCCCAGAATGCCATATAAATACAATCACATAGTATATAATCCTTTGAGAATAGCTTCTTTCATTCAGCATAATACCTTTGAGATTCATACAAGTTGTCACGTATATCCACAATTCATTCCTTTTTACTATTAAGAAGTATTCCATTGTATGGTTGTACCACAGTTTCTAGTAGGCATCTAATCTAGTGCTATTGTACTGTGGTTTTCATTTGCACTTCTCTAAAAATTTAAGATGCTCAATATCTTTTGGGAGACTTTCCACCATTATATTCCAAAGCCATTTGGGAGAATGGCATCATCATTCACCTCTTGGGCCACTGTGAGAGAGCTCTAAAT